ATTGCAAGGGGCATAAGCCATGGTGTTTTTGTTATGGAAATAGAACACTTGGTAAATGTGAAAAATATAAATCGTTTTAATGCAAAAAATATGTTAATTAAATATGATGTTTTTATATTTTTGTCTATGACACTTCTAGGTTAACACTTTTAATGTGGAAAAAGTACAAGAAAAATTGGTTCATTTCCGTGTAAACTTGCCCTTTAATGTGGGAGGAAAGCCCGAAAGTGATGCAGGCGAACACGGGTATGGTGCTGACAAATCTAGAAACATAATCAGGGCAAACCAGGATTCGAACCCACAATCATAGGTTTCTGGTATGCCCAAGGGACGCAACTCTGCAAGGGACGCAACTCTGCAAGCGAATCGCTGCACCTTAGACGACTGGGCCACCTGTGCCCCGTGAACCAACATGAACTTGAAATTGTCTCTCTTTAAAAACTGAGATATATATAGAGGCAAACAGCCCCTTAAACCAAAATCATGATGATTTTTTAAAATGCCAAACTTCCATGTAGTATAATATTTCTTTTCGAGAATGAAAAGGATAGATAGAGCATGTTGTTTATTTATCATGGAATTTTCAATTAAAGACTCTGAACATACTAAATGATCAATGGTACCTCGATTTTTGCGGAAACTACATTGAATATTAGTAATGAGATTTCCAAGTACCAAACTAAACAGTTATTTACATACATTCCATAGTATTACAAACACAGCTAGTAAGGGATATTGGCCTGTAATTAGTGAGTGAGTATGGTTTTACACCGCTTTTTGCCATACTCCATCAATTTCACAACGGGGGAGACTAGAAATGGACTTAACACATTGTATCCATGTCGGGAATCAAACCCGGGTCTTCGGCATGAAGAGCAACGCTTTAACCGACCGCCCCACCTGTAATCAGAGAGATTGGTATGATCTCGATCAGGTTTAGGTTATTTGAACGACAGTAGCATTTCACCATGATGATGGAAAATTACCAGAAGTCAAAATATTGTCCAAGATATTTAGCATTGTTTCTAAACACGATTCAGGTAAATGTTTAAGGATCTGAAAATAGATATTATCATGCCCCAAAGAAGTATCATAAGCTTGCCCAAGGGCGGTATGGAGCTCATGAATGGAAAAGATTTCATTATAGTCCTCACCATTGTCTCACTAAAAATTCATTTTCTTTTTTTCTCGCTGTTCCTTAAATTTCTGAAAGTGTGGTACATAATTGGATGATGAGGAATTTTTACCTAATGATTCACCTAATTTATTAGCAATATCAGATTTATCTGATAGAAGAGTGTCAGCCTCCTTCAGATGGTGAACACTGGATTAAGTTTCTGCACCATATTCCAAACCTTACAATTGAAATAATTTAAGAAACATTTTTTTGCCATGACTGTTGTTTATTTTGCTTAAATGTGCGACAAGCTTTGGCATTTGAAATTGAAGTTATGGATTGTTGAATGGCGACGAAACTATTTTTCTGCCTTCTTCCTAGCCTTTCTAGCCTGTTTGCAGTTAATGTTCAACCATGGTTTACGAATATGTTGAACCGTAGAGGACTTTGGGATACATTCATCAGCAATTATATTTAATTCATCAGAAAAAACTTGAATAGGATCATTAACATTTAGAATTAATTTGGATTTTAATATTTCAGTGCATAATGTGTCCAGTTGGCCTTAGTAAAATTCCATCTTGATGATGGTGGGGCATCTGTTGGATTTAGCAGAACAGGGCTGTGATTTGTGCTCTGACTCACCAAAATAGAAGATCCTCAAGTAGCCTTCTCACCTTGAGGAGACAAGCAATGGTAGGAATCATAATGTCTTAAATCAAATTTGTCTGTGGATTTTAGGTATGTTTCTTGCAAACATAATGCTGATGGATTGAAATCTTGAGTTAAAAATTGTCAAAATTGTTTCTGAGTCCTCTACAGTTCCAATATGTGGAGACATTACTCTTCGGAAGTTTAACTGAGGATCTACCCCGTCCTTTCTTAGAGGGCGCCAAGCTGTGTGGCCTATGGCGGCTGTTATCTGACACATCCATGTCCTCGAAGGATCCAAACTTATTAAACAATTGGACCTGGTTTTTCCATCCTTTTGAGGTGAGGTGAGGTGAAATTGGGTTTAACGTCGCGTCCAAGATTATTGCACTTATATAGCGACGTGCATGCACGTGTGTGTGTGTGGCTGCTTGTACTAGTCCGGACTGATGCCGATTTATAGTGCTAGCTCACTGAGATACCATGCCGCAGTTTAACATGGATACCCCACTCAGACACAGTATACTGACTCCGAGCCGACCAGTCCTTGTTTTAGCCCCTTAATGCCGAGCGCCAGACAGGGTAACAACAAGTACAATCTTTTAACGTCTTTTTGTATGACGCGGCCCGGGATCGAACCCTGGACCTTCCGCTCTCCGGGCGGACGCTCTACCACAAGACCACGGTGGCGGTCATCCTTTTGAGGGTCTGCCACTCTAATATTGTTGTCAATAATTCTGTTCTGGGTTTGGGTTTGTTTTTAAATACTTGTTTGACATTTGTTTCAGATTGCAGTTTTTTTATTTGACTGAGATGATGATTTGTCTTGTGAAGTTGTTTGGGAACTAACTGTCAGTTTCTAGGAGAGTTGTTGTATCAGCAGATAATGAAATGATTTCAGGAGATTCCTTGTTGGTCCAGGTGAAGTCTGTCTGACATGCAACAGCTGTGCATGAAACAGGCTGTGGAATACGTTGTGGGGCATGTTGTGAAATTGGCTGTGAAACAGCTAGAGTAAGAACTATGAGAAGACTGTCCTTCATCCAGAACAATCTTCTTCGCCTCTTGAAATGAGATGTTGCTTTCATGTTTTATTTGTACAATTTTGGACTCACGTTTAAATATAGGACAGTCTTTAGAAGAGGAAACAAAGTTTACACATTTGTCACATGTAGCACTGTCTGCACAACTGCCACCGCAGCGGTGGCAAGCAGCTTGCTTATCGCATGTTCTCAAGCCATGGCCATAGTGCTGACACTTGTAGCATCTCAATGGATTAGGGATTTACATTTCCACTTTGATGCTACAAAAACCTGCTCTCATGGAATCTGGAATATTTTGTAGACCAAAATTGAATAAGTAGGTATTGGTCTTAGTTAACTCACCATTTCTCTTAGGGGAAAAGCGTTTTACAGATATATTACATTTTGGCTTTGTAGTTCTTCCAAAAAGTAATTCTCGGTCATATCAGCAAGGAATCATCCTCAGTCCTTCCGGGAAACAATAAAAGGAACATTTGCAAGGGTCTTAATTGAAAGAAAGCTAACTGCTTGCTTGTGTCGCCTACAGTTGATCAACAAACATCAACTGCGTAATCTTTTGACATCTTCAACATCCCCAGCTATGCCTTGTATAACCTTTGCAACAGCAAATGGATTGATCTTTAGAGGAGTGTCATCCAAAGAAGAAATAACCAATATTGAGGGCGTCCACAGACTATTATCCTTAGTATCAAACCAATCATGTGATTCATAAGAACAGTTTTTCATTGTTCCATGCTGGTAGTGATTTTGATTCAGCCTCTTGGGTGCCCACCCACCATGGAGTGTCAACAAGGACTATGTCATATGCCTGTGGTTTTCTGACACCAAGGATACCAAGAGGATATACTGTAAAACGTGAAATTAATGCGTCTCCAATAGAATGCGACCGCTGGCCCTTAGCCCAAAATGCGACTCAATATGAATGCGACACCTCCTCCTCTCAAGCATCAGTGGATTTATATCAAAACAAAATGTCCTCTGTCAGGTTTACAGGAGAATCCTTACCTTAATCCAACCTTACATTAATCCAATCACACACGAAATAGCACCGCATATTAGCACTGAGTAGAGTACTTCAATAAAACAATACGTGGGCGCTCGGCCTTTGATGCAGTCGCAAAGAGCAAAGACACCGTGTTGGATGGCGTCTGTCTGGACCTGCAGGTGTGATGACATGAGTGAGTAGAACACTTGTCTTGACCCCAGCAGTGACATTTCACAGGATGTAATTAGTGTTTGAATGACATTGTTTATATACTTGTAACATGCTGCTCAATAAACAGCGATGTGTAAGACATAGCTGTTTGTTTTCAGCGTATGTCTAAGTTGGTATTTCTGCTTTCCAAAATGTCTTATTGTTGATATAAATGCGATGTTTATTAATGCGAGCAAAGACAACTCGCATTTTTCTCATTTAATTCACGCTTACATTAATATCAAGATTTACAGTAGTCAAGCAGAAACAACATAAAAATGTTCCACAAGATTGATCCATGAGCTACCGCCTTCTGGAAATTTTCCAGTTATAGTTCAAAATACATTTCAAAAGCCCACACGTGTATGAGCATAATATGACGCTGTTCTGTTTGTAATAAATTGACCAAACCAATAGCATGAAATATAGTTCATTATAGACTTTCCAAAAATGTGCAAATGAAATTAAATGCACAGGGCTCGACATGACCAGCTGATTGATAGGACCGGGCCCATCCTTCCACCCATCTTGGCAAAGTAAGGGTAGAAGTGGTGTATTGGGCAAAGGAACACTACTCCTGGAGCGAATGCCAACCACCAAACTCCCATCCACCGCCAACACAGGGATGCAACCCATGGCAAACAGGGTGCCCAATTTGGTCGCCTCTCACAACCAGCATTGTGGTACTGGGGACACATTCTACCCCGGGTCCCCACAGGGACATAGAAGGGACATAGAAGGGACATAGAAGGGACATGACTTGTAATCGCCACTGGTGGCACTACAACCGAGCCACGAAATTCCAGCCAAGTTTGGCAAGGCTGGAAACTGGACTTTAACTGTTAGTTAACTCCCTTGTCTCAGTGAAATCAGAAAGCAAAATATATATCATGATTATAGTAAATCTGTTTCTGTAAACAAACTTTCATCTCTTCATGCTCTCCTACGAAGTTAAATACCAGTCCATGAGGTTGTGTTAATTATTCAAACTTACTTTGTCTCGGTGGAACATAATCTGGTTTTTCAAATGCTCCCATTTCTTCCATTGTGTCTTTTGTCCGGACACCACCACTGTAAGTCCTGGAACAAAATGTCTGAATAACACATGATGACAACACACGAGTTAGCATGTCAGAATTTGTATAATTTTACCACACAATTCACCTGAACAAGCTGTTATGAAATCACCTCCATGTCAAGGTGAGCTAAACACATGATGACGTCATTTTTTAAGAAAAAGGATTGTCCTATTATTACCTGGGGTTGATTATTTTGCTTGGTTTTTGAGGGGGTTTCTTCTGTCTCGGTCTGGCACTGGTAGTTGGAGCACATGCATCAGGTAGACTGTTCCCACCTACAACAGCGACCAGTCACTCATCAGCAACCATCAGCCAACATGAACATATGAAACGTGTGCTTTTAACAATATACAGTGTACACAGCTGGTTATCATTTTTTAACCAATGACTTTAAATAGTTATATTTGCTATGTCACTAATTAATTAATTATTCACCATAGGGTCAACATGGTCAATAAAATCGGTGTAATTATTTCCGTTGTTGATGACATCACATACACATTCAATGTGCTGATGTCTACACTAGTGATCGGTAAACTACCATTTTTCCAAATTTTCAAAAAAAAAGACGATAAGTAATGTTGAGAATAGTCTACTTGCAACCCAGAATTACAGATTACCTATCCCTCGGTGAAATAAGCATGATAAAGCAACGACAAAAAACACATAGGACACATAATCCATAATGCCTTGTAGCTTATAAGTAATTCTCCAAATATTGCATAGCTAGAATATCGGGTTTATTGGAGTTTTTACAGTGATCAGCTATGGATTACAGCTGCAATAAACTACAGTTATATCAAACTCAAAGCTACCACTAATTTTAGTTTGTTATAACCGTAGTTCGTTATTTATAAGCATTTTGACAGACAGATTTTCTAGTCGTCACATTTTATAGACAGAATATATCCACTTCAAAAGTTATCGCCTAAACGCTGTTTTACTATTGTTAACTGAGGTTGTAAGTTGAGGACAATGTGTCAGTACTTAACAGCATTAGAGAGTTGCACTAGACCTGTAGTCCTAGCCAAACTGTGCAATAGTTAAGGTATCATAAGGACTATTAGAAATTTGCCATTCACAGGGGTTTTGCAATATGTTATCATTATAAAGAACTAGTGGACTAAAAGTGTTAGTTTCTGCCACTGCTTAATCCAGATAATCACTTGCCTTCAACTGTTTATTATAAACAGACATTGTCGTTGACAGGGTACACACGGGAACACAAAGTGAGTTTGATATGTTCGTTATTTTGTTTATCATGTGGTTTATAGCATTTTCGATATATACATCAATTTTATATGATAAAATATAGCAAATTGCTGGGACTACAAAAACAGTTCGTCATAAGCGTGTTGTAGTTTACTGTACAAGGTTCATTGAGTGAGTATCAGTATGAATGATTATTGTCGTCAGGCGGAGGACATTTTTCTGCCTTTTCCAAAGCTTTTACAGATATATGGACAACTTTGTCCTGGAAAGGCCACACTCACCAAAAATCTTGTATTACAGGAAACCAATGTATAAGAGCTACTTCAACATAGCTTTATATTTTCACAGATTAACAATTAAGGGATATGACAGCGAAGTTTGATTCAGAACAAAATACTTGCAAACACAGCATGAAGCAGGCTCAATGTGCAAATACTGCAAATTTTTAGAATTTCAGACTACATACTATACAACATAAAAACCTTTGTTTCTTTTCACATTGTACATTGGGCAACATGGATACATGAAGTTCATATTTGTAATCAGTTGCTTTACAGTGGTAATCTGTCATCTTGTTTGTCTGTCGGGATGAAATCTCGACTCTTTTGGTTATCTGATCGACCAGGTTGTCTGCTATGGTAGTCGTCTTTGTGAAGCCATTCGAGGTTAGAACAGCCATCAGATTGCACATAGTGTTTTTATCTCCAGGGAAACAACTTGTGTTCTACATGGGGTGGTGCCACGATAGAGCCAAGAGTGAGTGAATAAGTGAGTATGGTTTTACGCTTTTAGCAATATCACGTTGGTGGACACCGAAAAATGGGCTTCACACATTGTACCCATGTGGGGAATAGAACCTTGGTCTTTCATTGATGTTTGAACTAAGACTGTTCACTACCACTTGATCTCTGAAAACATCACCCTAACCTCTACCCCACCCTTTGTCAATTTTCTAAGTGCCCAGGATGCTTATTATGGCGAATACGTACAGTACTTATAATTGAATTAATTTACCAGATTTCCAGATAGTGTAACAACAGGATTAACTTGCGTAATTCAATATGAACGGATCAATAACGGATCATGACAAGAAGATGTGGGATACATATTTATACAAAGGTCAAGTTATTACCTCAGCTTAACTATGAGATCTGCTTATCTCCAGTCATGGCATTCAACAAAATGAATGAATTGCCATTTGGTGACAACAATACATCAATCTTTGCATCATTTAAGGTGCCTTATTAAAAACTGTATGGATATTTGTAAAATTGTAAATTTATATACTTATCCTATCTCACAGTATTCTTTCTAAAAACATTTCACCCAAACACAGCATCACCATGGTCACCACCCAAACAAATGGGTCACACACTGGTCCTTGTGACCTGCAGTGCATGTGGCCTTGCCTCACTTGATCACCTGACTACCCCTGCCACATCATGCTCTTTCTTGAGCGGACAGGCTAGAGGAGCTGTGATGCGGGGATGGTCGGGTGGGCATATAGCGTGTGAGATAGTATAAGTATATAAATATACAATTTAATGTAAAATTTACAAATTTTTAAACTTATCCTATTTCACACTATGCATTTATCCTAAGGGCGGACGGTAGGGTGCAGATACCCTAGTCTATAAAGACTACAACTGTGAGATGTACTCGAGGAAGCTGGTACTAAACAGTGATACAAATAAAGAATCAATATCACTGCCTCGTGTCATAAAGACAAGAACTTGTGAGTGGGTAAAAAAGACCATAAGAGGCAATGTTACGCTAGTCGGATGTAACATCATGAAATCGAGTATGACGTGTTACAAGTTTCCACGTAAGACATTGTTACACAAACGACCGTATAGCTTTGAATAGAAATCTATTCAGCGTAAGACTTATAACCAATCTGGAAGAGGTCTCCAGATAATCAGTTCTACAAGAAAGGCCACACCACTATCTCTGATGGACAATATGAAGAGCCAGTTTGGCATCTCTTTTGATGCTTGGTCAAAGCTATCAATCACACCCGCAGGGTTGAAGCACACTCAGAGAAGAAGATGAACGATTGACAACATCCGCAAGAGGATCATGAAACCAATACTGAGACATAATGTGCCTAAAGCAGAGGTGAGCAGTTAGGGGCTTGGGACGGCCCCGCCTTGTGGCGATTTTGATGTTGACGAGGTAGACTACCAGATAGTGTCGGACTCCACCCACAAAAAACTCCATGATGGCGGACAAGGTGCAGTTGCTGTGCAAGGCTCTAGACTAAAAAAGGATTGGATGTCACAGGAGGAGGCAATCCAGGTGTTGGTGTAGGCGGGAAGGATAGTCGAGTGGAGCCAAAAGGAAACTGTGGTACAGGAGACTTCCGTGGTGGCCACCATGGCAAACGGGATGACGAGTCTCTTGCAGGAGTGCCGAAGTGGCGTCAAGGTAAATTCAGAGAGCTCTAACCGGGCATAAGCTGATTCTCCATGATGAGGTCCCAATGAAGCCCCAGAAAGACCTTCCCTCAAACTTGACCCTGTTACCATTGAGAGCGTGGATCTCACTCACTCTAGCAGCAGTTGATAGAGCCAGGAGAAAAAACGTCTTCAAGGTGAAAACTCAAAGTTATTCTCAGCAAGTGGTTCATACTCCTGAGTAGACTAACATATAGTCTCTGAAATGAACATATCATACAGAAAAAAACAGTTGTTCAGTTATCTTAATAAAAATCTAATAAAAAGGGAGCCCAGTGATTCTCTTCATTTTCAGATACTGCAGTAATCTAGACTTGCCAAACATTATAGACTTGCATGGGCTGTAGTTGATATAAATGTATCAGGGTCTGTAAGACAGACTAACTCCTGAGTGGTCCGATGGCAGAGGATGACGTTGAGATACAAGTGGACCAGCCTTCCACCTCAAGTTGTTCAAAAATCTGTGTCCCATGATAAAGTGTATGCAACAGAATAACCAGTCTTGATCATACAGTAGGGTGCATGGTAGGCTGAATGCGGCACGACTGTAGAAGTGTGTCCTTCTTATTTGCTAGTGAAGTGATGGTCGTTGATGTGGTCTTGAAAAAACGACGAAAGAGGTATAAGCAACAATGGAGTGCTTGGACGCTTAGGATTCTTGATGAGTAACGATCCTTCGAATTGGTCCTTGGTATTGCTGTCAATCTACTAAATGGCCAAGAGAGGAATATGGGTAGGAGCAATATCGATCTCCTGCAGGACTGTGGATCTGTTTGGCTATCGACAGGGGAGAAACATTGAAGATAAGACGGAAGTCGTTGACACTCGGTGTATTGATGTCAATCATGATGTCACTCTCAGGGTGGTGTATAGCAATAATAATCAGACATGAATCTGTTATCCGGATACGATGGGTATCAATACATAACAGCCAGGCTTTGCATGAGGGAAGAAGCAAATGTGACAGTTTCGATCCATAGAGGAGGGGTACCGATCTAAGCTGTGATGGCAATCCCTATGAACGTTACGTCGATGTCGATCCCTGGTCAAATGTCGATAGCCATGTTGATTTGAGTCTGGGTCAGAAGATCAAGATCGGTCTCGACGTCGATGGTGATCAGAGTGGCTTGTAGAGGTAGATCTATCTCGCCCTCAATGTAGGATCGATCTGATGAATGATATCGATCTGAAGAATCGGTTAGACAATCTTCATCAGTACAATGTCAAACTTGATATATGTCTGCATCTTATCAGTCTTCTGAGATCAATGTAGATCTGTGGAATGTCGATCCCTCTAATACCGATCATTCAAATGTGGATGTCGATCCTGGTCCGAGGTCTATCTCAAAGACGAGGCATCAACTTGTGAGATCAATCAGTAGATCCTGAGAAGGTTGACCCTTAGAACATCAATCTCATTTGTTTCGGTCCAAAGAACGTCGACCCGTTTATCTGGAACATCGATCCTATAAATGTCGATCATTTGATGATCTATCCCAATAATGTTGATCACTCAACTGGCGACTCTCCGAGGAAGCACCGTGATTCTTATCTGAGGTTGCAAGAGCGAACCCGGCTTTTACATTCCCCAGTAGAAGTAGAGAACAAACTTATACAATCAATCCGCCTGTGTCCTGAGCATTCATTGAAACAGCCATATGACACAGTTGAACCTATCAACTCAACTTGAAAGGGTGCACGGGAATCACACACGTTGAGACGCCCAACGCTAACACCGTATTCGTGCGTGCGTGATTCCCGCGCAACCTTTCGAGTTGAGTTGATTGGTTCAACTGTGTCATATGGCCCTGTGACGCAGGGGTAGCATTATGCAGATGGCTGTTTCAATGAATGCTCGTTCCACCTGTGACGAACTGGTCTGGTTGTTGATGAAATATAGTGATAGCTAAATAGACAGATTTTTTATTCATGCACTGATTGTCTTTAAATGTACTATCCAGTTATGTATGACTGTTTAATAATCTCATACCAACTTTGACTGGAGTAGGTCCAAAAGTTTTTCAGATATTGTAGTAAACGTCGGTACCTTAAATTACCTTCCAGACAATAGACCATGGTGATGCTGGGATGAGTCTGGGTGAAATGTTTTTAGAAGCAGGAAACTTTGTGTGAGCACATTTCTACATATAAAGAATCAAAAGAAGAAGCAAGAAATGCAGTGTGAGAAAGGATATCTTTAAAAATTAAGGTATTTCTAAACAGGTACTACTGATTTACTGTCTTTTGGATTAATATTACTTTAAAAAAAACCAGCATATCCTGTGAATCTTCTCAAATATAATTAACATGACAATGTTGATCAAAACAAAAATAAATCTGAAGTACCCTATTATCATGTCTGAAATTGGAAATTAATCACTATTTAATATGTCTATACATGTAACAGTTTGGATTTATTATCTCAGGCAGTAGTAGTAATATCTTAAATGTTTTCAATGTTGATGTTGTTAGGTTTTAAACAAGAGAAATATCTTTACAATTGAAATAGTCCACTGAGTATTCATTGCCCAGAAAGTTTAACATGTAAAAACCTAGCATTATCACTGGTTCAAAAATGAATGGCATTTGCTGTACTTACCTCTCAGAGACTTCTCAAGATGTCTTTGTTGAAAATTTGTTAATTTGGACTCTTTCATCATTTCTGAAAATAGAAAAAGTAATATTCACGCAGGTTATGTATGGTTTCAGCATGATACATCAGATACACCAGACACGCACCTAGCCATTTATGAACATGATAGACCATAGAAAAACACACAAGGTATAGATCATGTATACAGGGACTTACTGGACTCAAATCCACAGAAAAATCAACTTGGTGAGGTGAATTGGGGTTTAGTGAGTGAGTTTGGTTTAATGTCGATTTTAACAGTATTCCAGTTATATCACGGCGTGTCAGCTTTATGTGGGAGGAAAGCCCGAAGTGATGCAGGTTTCAGACATTTACCACCAACGAGCACGTGTTTGGTGCTGACCAACCAAGAAACATAATCAGGGCGAACCGGGATTTGAACCCACAATCAAAGGTGTCTGGCGTGCCCAAGGGACGCAACTCTGTGCAGCGAAATGCAGCGCCTTAGATGACTGGGTCACCCGTGACCCTGAAATGGGGTTTAGCATCGCGTTCAAGATTATTGCACTTATATGGCAATGTGCATGCACGTATGTGTCTGTGTGTGCATGCATGCGTGGGTGCGTGTCTGCTTGTACTTGTCCAGACTAAGGCTGATTGTATAGTGCTAGCCTACTGAGATCCCAACCTGTAGTTTAACATGAATACACAGCATACTGACTCTGAGCTGAGCAGTCCTTGTTTTAGCCCCTTAATGCCGAGCACCAGACAGGGTAACAACAAGTGCGATCTTTTAACATCTTTTGGTATGACATGAGCAAGGATCGAACCCCAGCCCTTCTGTTCTCCGGGCGGACAATCTACCACTAGACCATGGGGGTGGTCCCAAATAAGCTCGGATGCAGAAAATTTGAATGCCTGTTTAGGAAATAATTATGTTATTTCATAATTTGGTAGCACTTACCAGCTTACAACTAATTTTTGTTTGTAATCATCATGATCATTTGAAAAATACTATATACAGTTGAAAATTTCGCAATTTTCTAGCTAGCACTTGTAGATCTGTTCCAGTTTGGGTAGTGCATTCTGTTATTAACTACCAGCCTATCGAGTATGTGCAATCTTGTGGTGGCGTACTGTCTCAGGGTCAAGTGTGTGTTTCAAAGCATGGCAAAACAACAGGATTTGAGGAACATTTTCGTCGGGGGAAGTTCAAGTGTGTCTTCAAGTGCAACATCATCAAACACTGAGGATAAGGAAGAATAAAGCTGTTTTATTTGATCAACATTGTTTCCGTTTTTTAATTTCTTTGGGACCCCCCATCTTGTAGGTTTTTTAACCCGGGACCCCTAAACTTAAAGGCTGTGGGTTCCAAGGACCTTCAAAATATATAACCCAGGTAAATCCCTGTATATCCTGACGTACACTATTTTCGAACAGTTAAGATGGCATTGCTGATATTTTAAGGAATGACTGAATCAAAGCTCAAATTCTGATTCATACGAGTAGGTGATGTCTTCAACAATAGAATTCAGCTACATTCCAAAAGAAAAATTACACTCAATAAAAGGTGTGACCTTCATTACCTTGTCTGTAAATTTCTTCTGCACTCGAGTGAAGTCGCCTATTTTCGAACACCTCATTGATTTGGTACTTTAGCGAGATTTCCATGAATGAACAGACATGTTTGGGCAAAATATGTTTGTGCAGTTCTCAAAATACTCCTTGCAAGTGGAATTAAAAAAAGTAATTGAAAGTTTGAAACCTATTCACAAAATATGCATATTTGTCAAATTTTTGTGTTTACATTATTGTACTCTTCCTTTTCATCAAGACACGGGCACCAAAATTCTGAATGATGATGGAGTGTTCTCACAGGTGTACAGTACTTCACATGAACCCAATGTTGACAGACCAAACATGTGCATTCTCAAGTCGGCAGCTTTGATAACGTCACACCTCTCGTTTTAATGCAACAAATCACTATCAAATACGGCTGTTCGAAAATTTGTGTCGTTCAAAAATAGGGTACTCGACGATATGTTAATTATGTCTCAATCTGACTTGTTCACTAAACAAAAAGCAACACAGACTTGAATAGCCTTTCTTGAAATTCTTCCATCATTTCAACATAACTGAAATTGTCAATTTTTTTCAATGACCTGAATATATATCACAAAACCTAAATAAGGTGTATTAATATGGTTGCTTACCCCAGTATATGTATCGATACATGATGTAAGGGTATTCCCAGGTTATGGGTTTTCGGACACTTAAGAAACATTCATAGTTTTCCCTCTAATCACATGAACAACTGTAAAACATCTCAGTCACTTATAAAAGACAACTTTCTCTAAAAAACAAGCCATCATCGGAGTATTTACAATGTCTTAGTAATGCTTAGTAATGCTACAATGTGAGTAATCGCGATAAACATGGGCATCCGAATCTTGATTAATGTTTGAAAGCAGATGACAACTTCATGAAAAGATTCCTTCTTCTTTATAAACAATCAAAGATATGAATATGCATGATGTAGTATCAGAAATAGTGGAAAGTGTAAACATACGGAGATTGGATTGATCGTGTTACACATTGTTGACAATTGTGACACTTTCACATCATAGAGATCAATAATAAAACGTTAAAATAATGTTAATTCAAAATTTATTCCGTTACTGTGACTGCATGTCGAAGATGAAACATTATCTGTACGATAAAGTTCCACAAATCAAGTCAACGGGTCGTCATGGAAGTGTTGATAATAATACATTTATATAAAAAAGTTAAAACGATATGGGTTTTTTTCTTTTAACATCTCCTTTAAAATCACAGGGATATGGTATACTTTAATAACCTGTTTAATCATAGAGGTATATGATATTTGACTGATTACCTTTCAATAAATCATGTGTTTGTTTGCTATATTGTACTTGAGGGGTACTCCAAAAGCCTCCTGCTTGCACGTTAGCTCTCTGAGCCGCCATTTTGAAGCTTTGATGGAATCCAAGCAAAACGTCACTTCCGGTATCTAAAGTGTGCGGTGTTTACATGACTCCATGGAAACCGAGATGTCGCTAATGCAGATGATTGTTAGTAACTAACGTAATTAACTCATACAACAAGCTCCGCTTAGCATTTCGTTCTTTTCATATGAAAAATGTTCACACTGACATCTCGTAATTAATGTTGATACCATCTGTCAAAATATAGATCTAGCTAGTGCTTGTTTCATAAATCCGGCTTTTAAAGTCATGAAAGCTGACATAGAGTTATTGTTGTTTTCAACTCCTAAAATAACAGGAAACATACTCTGGATAAATAAATTATATTAAGAAGTGCTGTTTCACGACTATCACTAATCATTACTTAATAAACACGTGAGGTTCCAGGCTCGATGACTAATTGAATCAGTTGATCAATTGAATGCCCGCGTATCCCAATTGCGTGGATAGATGTTCGTTATGAGTTATGTCTTTCACTGGAATGTTTGGCCTAGACTCGACTATTCACAGTCAATCGTCATATATACATAGACGATATTTCATATGTCGAGTGAAATATCCTGGCCACACGACCCCGTTAGTCGTCTCTTGCTGACTTGGTTGATTAATGTCATCGTATCCCAATTGCGTAGATCGATGCTCATGGTGTCAATCACTGGATTGATTGTCTGGTCCAGATTTGATTATATACAGACAGTCGTCATATAGCTGGACTATTGCTGAGTGCGATGTTAAACAACAAATAAACAAACAAACAAATAAACTGCTTCATATATGCAACATGACGTCTCATGTATAATTGGTTTTACCGGTTCGCTCTGGTCATAGCTGTGAAGCTTTAGATCTTCATACAAAAAAACTGCCGTTCACAAACACGTATCCTGCAAAACAAATGGCCATAGTTCTATTTGTGTGTACTCGAAGCGGGCATATACACAGCATGTCACAAATGTATTAGGCCTTAACATCACTTTGCAATATGCAATAATCATGCATATTTCATCATTGTGTGTCATAATCATTATTATTATTTGGGTATTTCTACCCTAGGCATCAAAGGAAAAAAAGTAGTTATTTTCTACCGGGAATTATTACACTCGAGTAAGGACAAGATATATGGATGAACAACTTCTTAAAGGGGCACTGATCTAACTGACTGGTTGTTGCCTTTGTTATTGTTTTTCCCCCGTGAGTACCCGGATGATACGCAACGCAACTGAGCGTGACCAGAGACTGGGGTACCGTCTGCAAGGACAGCTAAATAAACTTGGAGGCTGGAGGCAATATTTGTTCTACGCATTTTTGAACACTGATTGGTTAACTGTGATCTATAAAGATTTCGACAAAGGGCGCATGTTAATTCATTTCTTCAGCCTAAACAAACAGACAAAAAGAACAAGGGAGCTCATCGGACGTCGTCATTTGGAAATACCCCAGATGGTTATAGTTTAATACTAAAAACAGTATCCATGCAGTGAAAGCATTTTCGGATTTCGGCTTGCGTCGATAATACGATTACTACTCCCTTGTTGTCATCCACGTTTTCTCGTATAACCCTACACTTGTGTATTTGTCGTCATTCACTTGATGCTCAGTTAATGAATTTATTACAGGTACAATTAGTGGTAGCACCACTTATATCACCTGACAAAGGTTCCCATTTGGCATTTATTGTGTCTGGGGTAATTATTCAATCTAAATCCAGGTTTGAAGTGAGGTGAAATGTGTGTTATGTAATATGCACGTGGCAGACCAGCAAGACGTGAATGATCACTTGATTTACTTTTTTTTGTAAATCAACGGATCGTTCCTAGTCATCAAAGGATTAACAGAAAATACGTTGATTGATTAATCACTGTTATCTTGCACAGTGGATATGTCAAGAGTGAGTGTTTACATGTCTAGGTTTACTAAAACAAAGGGAATACACTCATATCATGGCGCGAAGTGCCGATGTAAAAACAACATACTTTGTTCAAAGGGTTAACTGATAATACGTTGATTGATTGATCATTGTTATCTATCACTCAATGGAATTTTTAGGAACCGTGGACGCTATGAAAATAGTTGTCACGTGGGCTTTCTCAGCCGACCATTGAGACTTGACACCTATGTAAAACACCTGAAACAATCCAATCGATCAGTTGAGAAACGAACACGGGTTATAATATCCCGAAACGATATATATCTTTTAAAATATTTGATTGTTACTGAGACACGTGACATCGAATAAGTTTCTTTGTACAGCTGCAGACGAGTGGGATATTGTTCCTTTGTGTGGATATTCACGGATACATTCCTCGAACAAGGAAGCTGCCTAAAACTTATACACATAAATTTGGTAGGTTGTAATTATGATATCTGCATTTTGTTTTCCTTCATTTGAAACGATTCGTTCTTGTTTCTCTTCGTCTTGGTTGGGAAATTCTTCAATGCGCGATAGACGTTGTTGTCACAGGTCTTTTCCTTTGTAAGCGTGTATATATTACCGTCAAATTGTAAAATGTGATTCTCTCAGGCAATTTATAAAATGTGTAAATATTTCAGTCATTTTGACTAAAAAATCTGTCCAGATTGATCAAGACGATCAAAAGGGCCTACAACCATCACAACAGATTATTATGTAGGATTAAAAGCCAAACAACTTAGAAATGTACTTTTCAACGTTACATTTTCAGTCTCTTGGTGATGACATTAAACATCAAAATGTTTGGAATTCGTTGTCATAATAATACAGATGGAAATGTTTTTCAGTCACTTTGTAAAATAACTGAATATTTAGACGTTTAATAAAATTTGTTACACATTTGACAGTAAAAAAATATACACACTATAAAAAAGCATAACACCTGAAACAATCCAAGTGATCCAATTTGTAAAACACTCATAATTTGACTTTTACTGTCAAAATAATGAGATTTTTTTATAAAACGCTAAACTTTTGATAATCTGAAAACTGCCATGTTTAGTTAACTGAATGAAAAGCATATTAATAACTGAATAAGCCAATCGCTACCGATAGGTAGTTTGTAATAACAATGGCTACCTTCAAGGCAGTCGGAATTACTGAAAAAAACATCCGATATATTTCACAAACTGGTCTCTTGGACGGAAGTTAGTATAAATATGATGTTGTCTACGTCAGATCGATCACATTCACGGAAGTATAAATTTGTATGAATTGAATTAAATTGAATGAATATGTGCATCAAACACTTTTTTTTGTATGTTTTCCTTTGTCTCTTCTGGTTAAAATAATCCTGTTTCTCCGCCACTTTGTTTTCTAATAACAAACACGTCTATAGGTACGGATCAGCCAATTTTAGGTACGGGTTAACCGAATTTGGGGACGGGTCAGCCAATTTTAGGTACGGGTCGGCCAATTTGAGTACGGGTCAGCCAAATGTAGGTATGGGTAAGCCAAAATCTCAGGTATGGGTTACGGGTTGTTGAAAGTACGGGTTGACTAGTCCCCTTCTCCAATATGTACATCGCTTCACATTTTTTAAGATGAAGGAAATAAAATATATGTTTTTGAATATTACACGCATTGCTAATTTTTTATGAATTCCCCGTCTAAACAGTAATAGACAAAAGGTCACGTAATTATATATGTGGTGACTTTATCATTGTAACTTTTATGTAATATGCAAAGTTAGCGATGTTTTCTTCTCTCTGAAGAGTGCTCCATCCTGTTTCAAGTATATGTTTTGGTAATCCTGTAACTATGCGTGCAACTTCAAACGGACTGTATATATTTACTGCGAGTGTGCGTTCAGTTTTCTCATAGAATATCTGTATATCGTGTTTGCAGTAGATTTTATCACGTTCTTGATAAGAGAATACCATTTACCGCCAGAAGTAATGACACAAGTTTTGTTTTTCGGTCTTAGATTTTGACATAAATAATATGGCTCACATAGAAATTACAGTTTCATCGTAGATATACAACATATAAGGAATCTAACAATAACTTATAATAATCAATCAGAAAAGTTAATTTGAACACAGACCGAATATTACGATAACATCAGAATGATTAATTTGGACAACGCATTTATTGGGGAAAAATACATCCATTTATAATGTAGTAGTTCAGTCCCTCACTCAGCCGTTCAGTCTGATGATGTGTATTTAGCCAGGGAATAAACAGAAAAGAAAGGGAAAATATTATACCCTGAAGTCATCAATGTACGGGGATTCAGCCAATTTGGTCCAGATTCAGTGTTGGAATATATCAGTTTATTGGACTTTAGCCAATTTGGTCCAGTTTCAAAACTGTGGAAAAATCTTCAAAATTCAGTCAAAATTTGAAATTCAATCTGTTAAGGAGCCTTTACGTCTAACGATATGTTTGAAGGCAAGAAACAAATAGAAAAAAAAAGAATAAAAATAATATCCTTTGAAATCACCTCATTATTGGACTTTAGCCAATTTGGTCCAGTTTCAGTAATTTGGAAAAAACTCAATCTGGGATGTTGCCGTTTAGTCTGGTTATGTCTATATAGTCAAGGTATAAATATAAAAGAAGAAAAAAATATATTCTTGGAAATCATCAGTTTATGGGACTTTAGCCAATTTGGTCCAATTTCAGTACTGTGAAAACATCTTAAAAATCCAGTCCAAATTTGAAATTTCATTTTATGATGGAGCAGTTTAGTCTTACAATGTATTTTAAGGCAAGAAACAAATAGAAAAAAAGAATAAAAAGAATATCCTTTGAAATTACCTCATTATTGGACTTTAGCCAATTTGGTCCAGTTTTAGTAATTTGGAAACAATCTGTAAAATTCCGTCAAAATTTTAAAACTCAATCTGGGATGTTGCCGTTTAGTCTGGTTATTTGTATTTAGGCAAGGTATAAATATATAAGAAGAAGACATTATATCCTTTGAAATCATCAGTTTATAGGACTTTAGCCAATTTGGTCAAATTTCAGTACTGAGGAAAAAAAATCTTCAAAATTCAGTCAAATTTGAAAATTTAGTCTGTTAAGGAGCCTTTAAGTCTAAAGATATGTTTGAAGGCAAAGAATAAATAGTAAAAAGAGGGAAAATGATATCAATTAAAATCATTAATTTGTGGGACTTTAGCCAATTTGGTCCAATTTCAGTAATTTAGAAAAAAATAAAATCTTAAAATTCAGTCAAAATTTGAAAACTTAATCTGTGATGCAGCAGTTAAGTTGATGATGTGTATTTCGGCATAGAACATACCGGTACGAAAAAGTAAAATCCTTTGTAATCATCAATTTATGGTACTTAAGCCAATGTGTTCCATATTTCAATTGGGGGTAGAGAGCCTGCCTTCAGCCACTAGTTTCATCAGGGCGCTCAGTGAAGGTCCAGAGTTTGATTCCCATCAGCAGCAGTGGTGCAATTGGGATGCAATGCTACATTGCGAATGCATACTGCATAACACCCTCGGTCAGCCAGATACCGGCATTGTCCTCCAGGTCTTACTACATCACATAACCACCATGGTGGTGTTGGTTCTCCTACATTAAATCTGGACGTCGTGAGATCAGTGAAATATTCTGGAAAGCCACATTTAAACCAAACTCACTCACTCCCTCACTATATTTTCAATAACTTCAAATCTTATGAAATAATATCCTTTGAGATAATCAAATCAGGTTTTTTTGAGAAGTCATTGAAAGTGTGTTAAAATTTGAAACTCCATGCACATGTTCTCTTAAACCCATCAGGCAATAAACCTACATGTATTCATGACACTGCTGTGCATATACGTATGTGGACCTCCAACCTGATGTGTGAGACTTACAATATATTATCTTTCTATGTTATTTAAGAAACAAAGACAAATTTCAATTATAATTTTTATTACTTCACAAGAAATATCAACAGAAGAGTCCTTCACATACCAGTAAGCAATCATTACAATCCTTACTCAGTCCTCACTTTCATTCATACACAAACTCTGTAACAAAAAGTCTGACTTAAAATATACATTGAAGAAGAGTTCTATTTCGCATAACAAAACCATAGATACATTTCATTTACATAATGCATGCTCAAACAAAAGTAGATGAGGTACAAATTCTTCCACATGATTGTGTTTATAATTCAGATTTAATTGTGGCAGAACATCTGTTACAAAAAGGGTAGTAGGAGCCCCATGCAGAAAAATAAATGTGGAAACATTCACAACCATTCATTCAACTTCAAAGGACATACATGTAACAAAGTAAACTTTACACAGAATAAACCCATGCAGTATAAATATGTTCAGGCCGATGTGATGTCCAATATCAGTTACTGGCAAAGTACATTGAAGCCCCTGTAGTCAAGAAAATACCTCTACCTGACAATCATGACTTGGTAAATTGATTCATTAAAACCAGATGCAATGTTTTCAAGTTCTATAGACTTTGATATGGACACCAGCCTGCAAAAACATGTTACAATCTGAGTGCAAGAACTATGCAAGATTTCATGTTGAACTTCCAGTGTGTTTGTTTTACTAACATTCAGTAACTTTTTAAGAACAGGTTTACTCAATTGTAAGTATTAATCAATGATTACATCAGCAACAATTATTGGTGTTAACCAGAAAATGGTTACTGCTATGCTTTTCAAATTAACAAACTGATGATCATATGATGATCAAATCACACCTTTTAGGAAATTTCCATCTAAATATATTTCAGCAAAGTTTATTTGGACATTCAATGTAAATTGTTTATGTTATTAAACAAACACTGATAACAAGAGTCATGAGAATATGACACATCCCCCTGCAGCCACACACTGCAGCAACATCACCAATCTCATAAATAAGAATAAAAGGCAGTATCCATTTCCCATTGAATCTACATACTGAAAAAAGGTTTTAAAAAATTGTCTATATTCAAACATATCCAAAGTAACATCAACAATATCTGACTGATCAATTTCCAATTTTTTTTGGAGATATAATTAATATTCTTTCTTCTCTGAAAGAAATTCAACTCAACTGAATGTAACTCCAACTTGTTTCCAGAACAAGTAACAACTTGAAACTTTAAAACATTTTTCAGTAGCAAAAGACAATTGTCCACTATCTGATTAATCATTCTGCATGTTTCATGAAAACATGTCAATTTTAATCTTGAACAACACCCCACTCCATCTAAATCCAAGTTCAAATTGTTTCAATGTCAACAAAAAAACTTTCAATAAATCCAGAAATAGCTAAAAGCACTAGTTTACTGCTTTAATGATACACATGCCTTTTCTTTATGATCAGGTTAGTTACAAGGAGAACCGTTAAGATCTGTTTCTATAGTATACCCTATTCTTTTTTTCGATTATTGATTCACCAAAACATGCTACATCAAACAGTTTGGAAATTCATAAACATGGATAAGTTTAACACACACAATGAACTGCACTAACAGGGTTTTACTATATTCAACTGAAATATACATCAATGGGAGGAGACTGAGGCATGTTCTATACACATATGTGAATGATTTGTTTGTTTGTTTCTTGTTTAACGCCACACTCAGCAATATTCCAGCTATATGACGGCGGTCTGTAAAATAATCGAGTCTGGACCAGACAATCCAGTGATTGACATCATGAGCATCAATCTACGCAATTGGGATCGATGACATGTATCCACTAGGCTCGCTAAATACAATATTTATTCCCAATACAGGATATGTACAATCCCCAAACACCCACGCGTGGTAACCTCTTTTTATTATTAGATATCGCTTGGGCGAGTTCTGGTATCTGTTTGGTGAAACAATGCCATGTGGCGTCAGCCTAGCAACAGGGTTGCTGGGGTCATCGAGGTTGCATAAACTCCTCATGATGATCTATCATTATCATCTCAATGTCGTTGAATAAGCCTAGGAATGTTGGGAATATTCAGTATTTGTTATTACACAATGTGCATTGCAGCTGCATGATTACTATTTATCTCTTCATGTGCGAGTAATTGTAACAGGTTTGATGTCATCACGTGCCCCTGATGAACTTATGAACCGACTAAATGCAAGAATTAACAGAAAAAATAAGAAAACATCGACATACCTTATAGTTGGTTGTTTGTTGTTTAACGCCGCACTCAGCAATATTCCAGCTATATGACGGCGGTCTGTAAATAATCAAGTCTGGACCAGACAATCCAGTGATTGACATCACAAGCATCGATCCACGCAATTGGAATCGATGACATGCATCAACCAAGTCAGCGGGCCTGACCACCCGATCCCGCTAGTCGCCTTTGACGACAAGCATAGTCGCCTTTTATGGCAAGTATGGGTTGCTGAAGACTTATTCTACCCCGGAATCTTCACGGGTCCATATGTGAATGAAAGAAAGGTACAGAGAACAACAAAACCTCATCAAGGCATCAATGAGTTGGCTGCATTCGTTAAGACTGTAACCCTTTCAAAGGAGCATCATAATTATGTCCTTTGACACTCTGGGTTGGTTGAAGAGTAGGTTCTCCCTGTCAGTTTCTCAGCAAGGAATATGATTACTTCCTTAATGGCCACATACAGAATGTAGTGCCATGCAGCCCTGTAATAAATTAGAGCATATTAATAATAAATTAGAGCATATTTATAAAAAATTAGAGCATATTTATAACCAGACTCAATTTTAAGAATAAAATAAATATCTCCAGTTCCAGTTTCATAAATGTAAGTTGTAACTGGAATAACTGGAAATCATTTACTTGCCAAAAATTCCAAGAATGAGTTTTTAACAATTACAATGAATTTTCAGTAGCTTCATTAGTTACATTGTAATTGATTATTACTTTCACAAGACTATTATCTCCTTCTTTGGTGTCTCTATTTTCACAATACTAAATGTTTTTCCAATGTGGGAGATATGCTAACAAAATACTGAATCTCTGTTCCCTTTCACCAAATTAGTTCTTTTCTGTTAAGCATTCATCCCAGTGACGTATCTAACGTATCTAACAACATTGTACCTATAACTATGGACCAGAAATCAAGCAAGCAAACCTGTACACATAATACATACTATTATATTTCTGGACTTTGTCTGCTTCAGATAATACAACCTAAAATTGTCAATGATTAAATGTAACAATCATGTTTGTTTTCCTAGCTGAAGGAGACAAACACGTATAGAGGATATTTGAAGTGAAGTGAAGTTGACTAGTTTGTATTTCCACGAGTGGCGTAGCCGCAAGTGCAAATATTAAACTTTTCACCTTCACGAGATGAGATAAACACGGTATTCAACAGGAAAAGTCAAATGTTCTATTTATTCTATTCTTCCTTATCGCTGAATCTTATGAAAACCGGACCGATGACTCGCAAATTCAGTACATTCACTGTGTCAGTCGTCTTGTTGCCTGGTGATACGCATTACGTCATAACATTGTTTACTTTTTTATTTTGTTATCTAACTCAGTGAAGATGCAGGTTTTGTTTTAACCGATAAATGCAGTATTTCACCGATAGAAATAGAATAATAAATAGTATTTTCTGTGCTTACTGTGTGTACTCCATTGAAAGTTCCCTGAGATTCGCATCAACATCCGGCACAGTAAAGATGTGAGTCACTGACTTAGTGTAAGGGCGACTGAAAGGAATCAAAGGTGGTCAGTGACATTAATGTGAAATTGAGACCATGAGCAATTTTCAATGTATCAATTTCATCTGTATGTGTAATTAAATGATAACTTTCTTCTGTGAATATGCTTTAGATGTAAACTTTTCCCAATCACATTTCAACTACTGCTCCTTTTTCATTCAATTTGGTAAATTTCTGGTTACAACACTGGTACATATATGCTCAAAACAACATGCATAAAACTGTGAATGTACACTGAATTTTGTGCCATTGGTATGTTCATAACGGATTCTACACTATTCACGATTATTCTTACCGTTTATCTCTCACTAGACGGCGTGTCAAGGATTGCCCAAGCCACTGAAGTATGTGCCCATACACCTGAAATTTGTTTTGCCATGTATAAAGTACAATTCATTGAGCACCTGATATCAACAACCATTTGCCATTTTTTCCCCCAAACATTTTACTTTAATCTTAATGAACACTTATATTTTACCTATATGCAGAGAAGTGTATGTCAGAAACAAAAGTACATATACATTGTGTTTATTGTATAAGATGATGATTACTATCACAACATAAGAATTGTTACAGTCATGGAAATTTTGGAAATTTTCTCTACTAAATTGTGGACTTAGGACTTAATTGGGAACATTATCATTCTCATACTTTTATGAAATTTAGCTGTACATATGAATTCATTTTCTTACTTCAGCAGACACAAAATCTGACCCAAATCCAGCCTTGACTTCATGGTAGGGATACTTGGTAACCACGTCCTTCTTTGTCCTCACTGTAAAGACAAAAGTGCCTCAAGAATGCCACATTCATTTTATATTGACTGTTGTGTGATGTTGGTGTATATGTAACTGTTAACTTTCAATGAATAATTAGCATATTCATATCTGATGTACAGGAATATCAACAACAGTGTTATATTAAAGGAAAGGATACATACATTGAATTGGTTTATTTTGGCCAGATGCGATGTGCATGTTTAGGACTTCGGATCATTTTCCATGGCCATGTACTTTAAAGAGTATATTTCCTGAACTTTCCCTGTAAAAGGCTCTTAATGTAACTGCAAACTTCTGGTTTCTGTGAAGAAAAGTCAAACAGTCAATTCATTAGACAGTTTCTGCTTTAACAGTTTCAATTTCAACAAGCATATAGTCGACGAAGTCATCTATATTCCCTGCCAACCTTAACATGTAATGGTCCGAAACCAGGTAAACTAACCCAACATTTCTTTAAGCCCAAGTTCAAATAGCTGTCCCTGCATAATGCTACCCCTGCGTCACAGGGCCATATGACACAGTTGAACCAATCAACTCAACTCGAAAGGTTGCACGGGAATCACGCACGTACGAATACGGTGTTAGCGTTGGGCGTCTCGTGTGTGATTCCCGTGCACCCTTTTGATTTGAGTTATTCTTCTTTGGGCCTATCAATATTACTTGGGACTTATCAAATACCCACTGTAGCTTCTACAGATTTTTCTGACCTGTATTATCATCATATTGTGTTAAATATTTTTCAACTTTTAACTAAAATATTCTTGACATATTCTTCTTAACAAGCCCAGCCAGAATTTCAAGAGCGTAGGAAGATAAAGGGAGAAATATCCTGACCTTGTCTACAATCACTTTCAACCGAAAACCAAGGAGACAGTGTGTGATTTATTACATAATATGATTATGCCAATATATATTACTGAATCATTTCTAGATATCCTTACCAAGGTGAAAGAAAACTGAAGTTTTGTTAACATAATATCAAGAAACAGAATCAAAACCTGTGTAATTCATTAAATCATATACCTATAATCTGTCTGAAACTGTCACCAAATTATAAATATTACATAAATTAATGCCTCTACCAGGCTTAAAGTCAGTACTGTTAATAAGTTAGACTAATTTCATCAATCAAAATCATTCACTGAACCTAAAAAACATGTTGTGTTTAATTACCATACATTCAGACATAATACTGCTTATCCAAGGTAATGAACATTCCATTTTCAACTCACCCTTAGTTCCAGCAATACCAAATCCAAAAGACCTGTCTAAAGAGAATCATCTACTGAAGGAATAATTCCTTTACTTCCAAAGTCCTTGATAAGTTTCCTCGACCTAGCAGTACAAGTCAGTACACACAGATTGACTGAACAAAATCCTAATGATTCCAATGAAATCAATGAAGTGTAGTAGTTGTCGCCTATTCGTTTAACTGAAGCATACTGTCATACACACAACTGTCTCATTTCTACAGCAATACAACAGTGATGGTCTGGTACAAAACATCTAATCATTGGCTAATTACTCCTAAGATGACAAGTAAGGGGAGGAGCCTACCTCACCAGGCCAGAGAACATATACCAGGTGGCCAGCATTACATAATATTACCTAACACAGCTGGTAGCATGGCCATGCAGAGGGACAGTGGGTTAGCGAAAATCCAATTTTCTCTAGTATCAGTAAAGCGAAAACCCAAGTTGGGGTATTTGTCCTACGAAGGCGAAAATGAGTAATTGCTATAAAAACACCGGATTACCGTAGTTTAGATAAGCGCCCGTGCTGTTACAAACAGAGGAGAGGAGAGGAGATTTACTAGAGAATCGTTTCGTAAAAACATAATACAGTTGGATGTTTAAACACAGGAGAAGAGATGATCAGTTTCTTAATTGAACAAACAATTAGTTTCTTAGTTGATATGGGTTATGATACCGATGGGTTTAGAGGAGAGTCGTTTCTTAAGAATACATACAGTATGTATTTGATGGTATATATAAAGATTGCAACTTATTTATCTATGTCCAAAATGGCTAATGCACAAGTTCGAGTGACCATGGTTGATGTTTTATGAGAGATTCAAGTTTCGTTGTAAGAAAACGGTCCGTGAGAAGAAGTATAGGAACTGCGTTGTTGCTGCCTTCAGAGCGTCGGTGATCACTGAAAACGGCATTCTTCAAGCGGCCTATGCAGGTAAGAAAATAATGCACATGATAATGCCTGAGATCTGGAACCATTTTGGTAACCAAGGGCATCGCACTAACAATAACGTCGGGGGGTGGAATCACAAACTCAACAAACTTGCCAGGAAGAGCCATCGGAACATTTTAGAAGTTGTTACGCTATTTCAAAGAGAACAATCCAACGTAGAAGTCGCCATTCAACGAATTGGAGCCCAATGGTCAGCACCACCCAGAAAGAGAAGATACTGGCTGATTGACAACCGTCTTCAGGCTCTGAAAGACAATCTCGTCAACAACGTCATCGGCGACGTTGAGTACACAGATCACGTTGGTGACCTGATCCACTTGGAGTGAATGACTTGAACACAACGTGTATGCCAGTGCAACCGCAAATTTATTATAGAATGTATTTATGTATTTACCATTATATTTTAAGATATAAGTTATTGTTGTTTTTGTAGAAATTATAATGTACATCTATGAAATATTAAAGTATTAGAGTTATTAAATTTGTTAAATGTAAAGTACTTTTGTGCAACTATACTATACTTCAGCATCTAATAAATTACTACTGTAATTACGGTATACGCATTTCTGTGTTTTTCTTGTAATTTGAGAGTCCCGGTATAGCAATATCCCTTTACTGTAGCGTGACCAGTCTTACTGTAGCTTCACGAAAGCGAAGTGATTTTAGAGTTGATTATGGCTAGGTTTCGCTCTTCCGGCCCATAACCGAGATAATCCAGTAACTTCGTTATAAGTATGTTATCTATATGTATATTGGAAGGTAACAAGGATTGACTTTGTTTGGGTTCTAAGAGTTTTGTGTTAGTGGATGAATGGATGGAGGTAAGGATAATTGGAGTGGGGTTCATCCCAGCAAGTTGACATATTTTTTTTTGAAGAATAAGAAATTATTGTATTTTGATGGTACTTAAATGTAGTTCACTGTAACAATATTCATTGTTAAAAAATATATAATATTCAGCCATAAGACCTATGAGACAATGAGACAATAATATTTAGATGCAATCCATAAGCATATTTTTTAATTGGGAAAATAAGATAAAAGTACATAAAACATAGGTGTCATTTTCCCGTGGTTTCAACACTAAAGTGTTCACATTTTGGTTTTAATAAAAGAATGTTAGATTAGTTAGGTATATGATCTTGTATGTGATGTCCTGCTGAAAAAACAAATGTTTAATTAAACACACCTTTTCTGTTCATTGAGAGTATTATGCCTAATTGATAAAGCTTGAGTATTTGATACTTATAAAGAAATTTACAATGCTTGATCTCTGTGAACTGGCACAAATGAAATAACTTTCTGGTAATGAAATCATTTCAGTCTTGAGAGGATCCATAGTGCAGCATCCTTATATATAACATGTAAGACATGAAGCAAAATCTTTCAATAATGACAGAAACTTTTATCTTTTAAAATATTAATCAGATAATGAAAGCAGAAATTCTCCCATGAAAAAAAACTCACTATAGAATTTTGGGTAGATCTCACTAACAGCATGAGGAGAATACATTCTAAAAGTGTGTATGGTAACAGGTAGCCTGTATGGTGCACTAGTCACCCCTTGTCAGAGGCCATTAAACACTTTACAGGGGTAGAAACTAACAGTTCTAGTCCACTGGTCCTTGATACGTAGCAGCCATACTGAATTTTGTTTTAAGGCATACTAAATTTTTAAAGTGGAAAGCCTACATCCTTTTGGAAAAGATATAATAAATACAATTCCTGATAAACCAAGATGATTTCCAGGAAAAAAGAGCTTGACATGACCATTAACAAATTTTAAACTGGTAGACATCATTAATGACCCAGAATCTAGCCAAACTGCAATTCTTTTTCAAACAACCATGAGCGTTGTCTTCCCATTATGCCTACTGGTTAAACAAACACACCATACAGTTGAGTGAATGCTAATTACCACCTGTCACCCCTCCTGACTAAGTTAGTTAACCTGTCTAAAGGTAGACAGATTAGGAATCGAATCATTGACAAATGTAGGTTTGAACTCGTACATGTATAAACATGCATAAAGAAATGCAAGAATACATGTTATGTAGGAGTAAAATCAATATATTTCTATGTAGCTTCAAAAGAATGTACATGTATGTAATTTCCATAGACCATTTTAATGATGCCATTGTGTTTTTTAATGAATCATTTGCCTACGACCGGATGTTGTATTTTTAGTAACCCATTATGTATAGTTTGTTTGTTTGTGCCACAATAACAAAATAAGTTTCTTTTTCTTCTGATAATTTTTTATGCTCATCATCATAAATGGTTTGTTTTCAGCTTTATAACAACATATTTCGCTGATGGTATTATTATTATTATTTTTTTATGCTAAGAGAACATAATTTCAAATGTACTAAGTTGTGTTCATTTTACCTACATATCTTGTTTTTATACATTTTCATAATGTGTGTGTTACCTTCAAAATGCTCACAACACTACATAAAGTGTTATCATGAAAACATGACCTTGGTTCATGATCTTATCAGTAGGAGACCATTTCTCTAAAAATGGTCATTGTATCAGTAAAGTGAATGTCAGTAGGCATAATGGCACATAGGCATATTGGGAGTGAAACCCATCAACATCCTGCTATGACCACCATATTGATGTTTTTCATAATCAAAATCCACCTTTGTTGTGGAGAAACATATTATAACTGTACTTTCTGGAATTTTGAAAGTTAGTAGATTCTGAGAAGATAAGTGTGGCGAGATAAGTGTCTTGCTGAAATATAAAGAGGAAAGTTTCAAAATGAAAACCTTACTTTGTT